GATCCAAAGACCCAAAAAAACCGGCGCTCCCCGCCCCAGGCTCCCCGTGCGCTGGGGGCCCACCCTCCGGGAGCCAGCAGGCAGGAAGCTAGCCAGCCCGAAGGCTGGCGCTCCCCGCCCACAGCTCCCTGTGCGCCGGAAGCATCCTGGTGCCTGAACTCTTAACTCTCTGAAAAATAAAACAAGAATCAACAAGTGAAGAAACAAGATGCAATAAATACCTTTTTTGAAAAATAAACTTTTTAAGCCAGGTAAAACTCAGCATACCATATAGTTCTCCATTTTAGAGTGTACAGTTAGGTTTTAGTACAGTCACAAAATTGTGTGGTCATTACTTTCAGAATATTTTCATCAGTTCTTAAAGAAACCTGTTAGGAGCCAGTCCCTATCTGGGAGCAAGTCCCTAACTTGTTGGTGTTCAATCAAGTCTTACCCACTTATCAAGCTACTTCTTTAAAGAAGAGTAGTTTAAACTACTAGCAGTGTTTAGAGAAGTCATACCTCATAATACTATGAGTTGGAAAGAAGTTTTCTTCTCTAAGAAACAGAAAAATTTAAGGTAGAAACCTGCAGGCCATTCTTAGATGAAAAAGCCATGTCATTTTATTAAGATAGGAAATATTATTAAGGAAAGATGATGAGTTCCACTTCAGACATAGCAAATTTGGGATTTCAAGGAAGGGATGTTAGATATTTATATTTGGATGTTAGAGACATCCCTGCTGGAGACAAAGATTTGACATTTATCTGTATACAGGTGGATTAAAATACAGGACTAAGTAAAGTACCCATATAATGAAAACAGTAGAAAGCAGTATCTTTGGTTTTGATTATGCTAACTGATGTTTCTGCTGTATATTGCTATGAATGGCTTGTTTTTTCTGGTTTTGTGACTTGATTGTGAATTAATTTATTCACATCATTAATTTTATAACCGTACTTGTGGGAATTTTTGAAAGGTCTAGATCAAAGATGAATTCCCCTAGAGAGAATGTGCATTTGCATGTTAAGGTTGAATGGGGACACTGCCATCCTGCCGTCATTGTAAAAACTTCTAGGTATGGAGCTCTTAAAAGGTCAGTATGTGGTTGTGAACTATCAGAGGAGACACCACTGCACTGCTGTCTTACCCTTATCTGCTTGTCTACACCTGATGCCAAAAAGCAGTTTTCAGCCTACTGTGATGGTGTACATCTATAATCCCAGCCTGTAATTCCAGCAGTCAGGAGACTGAAGCAGGAGCATCTAAAGTTTGAGGCTAGCCTGACCTGCATAGCAAATCTCTTGTCTCTAAATCCCGTGCTCTGTACCCCTCCCCTCCCAAAGCAGTCTTGTAATTCTTTTGGGTAAGACCTGAACTTTGCCTCTTTTCCTGGGCCTCAAGAGATCTTAGAATTAATTGAAAGTTGGAATTCATATGGTTTGACAGATGCCCTAAAGGTGAAGGAAAGCTGGTTTTAGTACTCTGGATGTCTCCCTTATTCCTTTGTTATAGTTGTTTTACTTCTGATCATACCTACCTTATTTTTGTCTGGTTTTTGATTCATTTATAAAGATTTGAAAATACTTTATCTGGCATTCAAGTTATTTTAACTGAACGTGGTGATCAAGCCATGTATCTTGCCATCCTGGCAGAAATAAAATCATGTCTATTCAGCATATGCAGGACAGTTGTTGGTAATTTAGTCAGCTTCTGAATCAACAGTTATAAATTTAGAACAAATGCCAATGTTTTCTTTGGCTCACATAATATTTAGAAAATAAAAAATAGATTTTAAATAAGATTTTGGATTTCTTCTTTTGAAAAACTGGAAGTTCTTACAATGGGCTGAGCAGCGTGTGGTGGCACATGTCTATAATCTCAGTCCTCTGGATGGCTGAGTGACGAGGATCACAAGTTTGAGCCCTGTCTGGGGAGCTTAATAACTGAGCAAGACCCTATCTCAAAATAAAAAAATCAAAAAGGACTGGGGATGTAGTCTAGTGCAGACTCTTAAGTTCAGTGTCCGGTACAGACTAATCCTAATTATTTCAGTTATATTAATGTCTCAGTTACTTTTCTCATTTCTGAGACAAAATACCTGGCCCCCTCAAGTTAAGGGAGGAAAGATTTATTTCAGCTCACAATTTGTAGAGGTTTCAGTTCATAGTTGGCTCCAAGGCAGGTTGGCATGGGAGAAAGGGCATCACAGAGGAGAAATAGTCCATGGCAAACAGGCAGGAGATTTCCAAACTGCCGCAGCAAGCCTGCCTTCTTTCTGTCCCTTACTGTATATTCCATCCAGCCTACAAGTCTGTTGATTGCTGCCGCCCATACCCATAGTGGGGTTTCTGTTATCCACCTTGATGCTAGTATCACACCCTTAATCTACATTCACCCTTATCCAGCCACTTTGGAAATTCCCCACCTGTGAGTGTATGGGGTTTTGGGAGATGCAAAGCCATAATTACAATTACTTTTAGTATTTGTGAATCATCCTTGTCCCTAGTGAAAATATTTGACACTGCCACATCCTAGTGGAGTAATGCTAATAGACATTTTCATATTTGTTCACTTTATTATTTAACTTTAACGGCAAACCTGTAATGATAAAAGTTATAAAAGTGTTAACAGGTGTTACATTGCCAAATTTCAGATGAAGAAACAGGTTCATTGAGATTATGTCAATTCTTCAAGGTTTCAGCAGTGTTACAAGTTAGAATTTGAACCTAGAACTTACTCAGAGCTCCTATGTTCCAGTGTTAATCTTAACTTTTTTTTTTTTTAAGCAGTGGAACTGTTTCTTCAGCTGTCTTAGTGAAGTTTAATAAATAAAAGTAATAAAGGTAGCACTGCTGTCATTGAAGAGATGTGTAAATTCGGGAGCAGTTCATGTTGAAACAGGGATCTGCATGCTCAGCTCAGTGGAAGCTTAGGCACCTTTCTGGACTTTCTGGGATTCTTCTAAGTAATTTTGACACACACTCTATAAACATAACCATTTGTCAAATTTTATGAAATCTTAGCTCATTTGGGTGTCACAGTTACAGTATGCTTGCTTCTTTTTTTTACACTTCCTGGTATGCGTTTCTTCTTCAGTGTAATCCCTTTTACTATTCAGTAACATTTTTTATTCATATGTGTTTGCATTCAGATAATGGTTATTCTTTTAACCTTTTATTTTTTCACAGAGTTTTAATTAGAATTGTGTTATTTATAGTTTAATTTATTTTGGAGTATCTAATAACTAACTCTTGTTTACTTTTTAGATTCTCTTTGTGGCCAGATGGGTTTGTATGGACAGGCTTGTCCATCTGTAACTTCATTAAGGTGAGTGCTCATATCTTTTTCTCTTTATTGGAATATCTAACACTTAAAAAGTAAACTCATTTTTACATTGAATTTCAAGGTGAAGGTCTTAGTAAAACATTGCATCTTGTTTTGTCAAGCAGTGTTGTAGTCATTGTATCATTTATTCATTTAGCATATTGAGCATCTGATGCATAGTTAGGCACTATTCTAACATAGCAGGTAAAATCCCATAATCATGGAATATACCTACTGGTGGAGGGATAATTAACAAAACAAGTAAAAGTATCTGTTAGATAGTGACAGTGATTAGCACTAAGAAGATAATTAAAATGGAGGAAAATAGAAAGTAATGAGGGTATATGTCATTTTAGACAGGGTAGCCAAGGAAAGTCACTGAAAGAGTGAAGTTTGAACAAAGAACTGAAATAGTGATGGAATGAGCCATATATTGGGTATGTGGAAGTTGAACATACCAGTCAGAAGGAATCCAGGAAGTGCCCAGGTAGGAGGTTGCTCTGAATGTTTAAGGAATGTTGAGGAGGTCTATGTGGCTGAAGTGGAGCTGGAAGAGAGTTGAAATTGTCATGTTATGGAGGGCAGGAGGAGTGAGAAAAGGCGTACAAAGTTGCTGGAGCCATGAATGTGAAGTTAAGGAATCCTTAGGATTGAGAGAGATTTTAGTTTTCTGGAATGCCACAAAAGAAAAATGAACACTGAAGTTGCATTTTTCATTTTTAGCACTTGAATTCCTAGCAGGTCAAGGCCATTACCTCTTCCTCAGTAGAAAAACTATGCTATAATGGCATTTCTTTCCATGAGAGTAAAAATAGATGAAAAGATCGCTTTTGTATTTACCTTGAGTTTTTTTCCCTTTCTCTGTAAACAAGAGACATCTATCTCTGAAAAGAACTTCTTTTTTAAAGGCCCATAATTTCTTTAATCTTCAAAGCTGTTCTAGAGCTAATTTGACTCACTGGTGATTTCCACTTAGTATGATGGGAGCAGTCATTTTACTTTCTTTTAATACTGTATTTAAAAATTTGGGAATAGTTTCATCAGGATATTTTGGCCACTTTGATCTTCCAGTTAATAGTTTTCCTTAAATATACGGTAGTAGTGCGGTTATAGTGAAACAGTCATGTTAAGGTTGAGGACTGAGTGGAAATTACATATGTAAGTGAAGGTAGGGAGTGGAATGGAAGTGTGTGAAATGTTCAAAAAAGTTTTGGACAGGATAAGATAGTAGATGAATTATAGTTGTTCTGTCAGTAATCTTAAATATTTAAGGTGAGCAAGTATTGTTTTCTTAGAGATGATATTGGATCTTTGTTTCATATGACGGTATTAGGAATTTTTTTGTTTTTGTTTTTAGTTTTTTTGAGATTAGGGTATCTCTGTGTAGTTTAGGCTAGCCTTCAGCTTACTATGTAGCCCAGGCTGTCCTTGAACTTGTAGCTATCTTTGTGCCTAGCCTTCTAAGTGCTGGGATTACAGGCATGCACCACCACTCCTGGCTCGTATTAGGATTGTTTTAAAAATTCTTACTGTATTTTTAATGATTGAAAAGTAATATTTTAATAATAAAAAATATGGAAATACAGAGGTAGCATTTAATATTTTCAGATCACATAATTTTATTTATTTAATTTATTTAGGTTTTTGAGGCAAGGTTTCACTATGTAGTTCAGACTCACTTTGAACCACTTTGTAGCTCCAGCTGGCCTTGAACTCATGGTGATCCTCCTACCTCATCCTTTCAAGTAATGGGATTATAGGCGAGTGCTACTACTGCCTAAAATTATATTTTAAAGAAAGTTACAATAACAGTGTTATATTCTGTATGAGACAGTTCTGTTCCATTAGTGTTCTTTCCCTAGGCAGAAACAATACTAGTAATTTAAACAGACATGCTTTATAGAGAGAATGGTTAACTCTATATAAAGTTGTTACCTAGATAATAGAAAAGATAAAAATAAAACTCATAAGTTATCATGAAGATAAGATATAGTAGGACACCAGGTACTACCCATAAGATTCAAGGACAAGGGAAAAACTTAAGGAAGAAAGACCCTATTGAACTGAGATTTAGACCTGTGAGGAGAAATTGGTATAAGGACTGGTGCTGGGTCTGAGTGTGGAAGATGGAATCTGTCAGATTGAGAGCCAGACCTCTGCAGAGGGGATGCTCACTAGTGCCAGTGTCGTGTGGCGTATTATGAAACTAGTTCAGTAAGTACTGTAAACACTGAAAACTGATTGACTTGCTGCTATGAGAAAGGCCTGCTGGTGAAGAGATGAAGAACCCTTTGCTAGGGAAATGCTTTTATGAATGCCAAGGAGTAGACAGAAAGGCACAAGTATCTTCCTCCTCCAGATTTGTAGTCAGTTTTTAGTGCCTTGTCTTGCTCTACGGAGCTTTGTAGGAACCCAACTGAAAAGTACAAGTGTGGTTTGTAGAGACAATTCTAGCTCTAGCATCATCAAGCAGGATAGTAGTGGGGAATGTTGCACTTTGGAGCTAAGGGGCAATAACTGAACTGTCACAGCTGTTCCAGCAGAGTGCTGAGAAATATGATATAAAAAGATGTTTTCCAAGATCTGTGTTGTACCTAGAATACTTGCATGTTGCTGAAAAATTCTAAGTTATATGAAATTATATTTAAACATTTCTTAAGATATTCTTTGCAGTTTGAATCTATTGCATTCATATCCTGGGTTTGGATGGTGAGAGTGTAGATAGTGAGGGATACCAGATCCTCCACATCTGTTCATTTCCTGAATGTTGGATAGCAAGGACAAGAGTTCAGGTTGTGATGGATACAGTTTCTGTCAAACAGTAGAATCTTAAAAATTTAGCATAATCTGTTTGGTTCCTGAGTTTCAATAAGATGGATTCAAATCCTAAAGTGTATCTGTATTTTATTTGTAAGTGTAGGTTCGGTAAGATCAAAAGCTTACTGAATAGTTTATGCAGACAAATAAATACTATGTATATATCACAAGACTTTTACATAATGTAGCAAGGGACTGTTTTTGTAATTTGATTTTGTCAAAGCAAAATAAATTTGTTTCTTTGTGCTTGTTGAGACCTTGCATTTCTCAGTTACCTAACATATTTTAGAGTATTGATTGTATGGTTTACTCATACCTTGAGAAGCTGGTTTACAGTAGCACTTGAAGTCGTTTCTGATGACAATTGCTATCTTCCTGAGATTGCTTCCTCTTTTTCTGTGTTTCTCTTGTTTCCTTTCTGTTATGCTTCTCCCTTAAAAATGCCTTTTATTCTTGATTTAATTTTTCTGTTTATGGATAGTATATACTAGGAAACACATGGGGGATATTTTAACATGAACTTCCCCAGAAAAACGTTAGTGACACAGATACATTTCCTATCCATCTGTTTCTTTATTTCCCTCCTCTTGATATTGATGACCCTGATGTTTAAAATGATCAGAGAGGGTAGATTTATTTTAAGGCTTATTGCTGCCTTGTTTCCAGTAGCAGGCTTGGTATTGACAGGCGGTTCTGGTATGTAGTCTTAAAACCAGGTAGGTGCAGGTTCAGTTCTATCTTGGGTGTATATTAACCATGTAATCTTGGGCAAATTACTTTTTCCTCTGTTAGGTTTCATGAGATTAAACATATATATAAGGCATCTGGCGTATTTTTTCCTCTCTTCCATTTTCCAGTAGTAGAAAACAACAGAGTTTGTCATTTTTAAAATGAAAGAGGGAATGAGACAGATGTGTATCTTTTGCTATTTATCATCAGCTCAAGAATATGGGATCATAGAGGATTTCTATTTCTCTTCTATTTCCTCTTCATACTAAAATTCTTAACATTCTAGAATATCTACTCATAAGTGTTCAGATTTACCTTTGTCCTTTGAACTAAGGATGTTGCTATCATTTAATATTATATGTTTATTGTACTTGTAATTTAATTTTTTTTTTTTTAAGGCAGGGTCTCACTTTGTAGTTCAGACTGGCCTTAAAGTCATTATATAGCCCAGGCTGGCCTTGAACTCAAAGTGATCTTCATGCCTTGACCCCCTGAGTGCTGGCATTACAGGCATGTGCTACCATGCCCAGTTTAAAGTTTTATGTTTTTAAGTTTGTTTCGCACAGTGGCAGAAGGAGCCTTTGTGTTACCATGTAATATTTTCTTTTCTTGGTTAAACATTTCTGGTGTTTGTAAAATCTTATTTGCATGTTTAAAGATTTCATGTTCCATTTAAATGGTGAGTAGTGTGAAAACTCTTTAATTTGACTATTCTGAAACATATTTTGGATTTTTCTGGGTTATCTTTTAAAACTATTTCTGATATGGTAGCCACAAGCCCCATGTGCCTATTTACATTAATTCAAAATAGATAAATTAAAAATTTAGTACTTAAGTAACACTATTCACATTTTAAGTGCTCACCAGCCACATTTGGTAGCTATCACATTGGACAGCACACAAACATTTCATTGTTGCTGGAACTTCTATTGGACAGTGATGATACAAGACCCTCCGAATTATAATTTACTCTTTAAGCTAAGAACCTGATGCTCTGGGGCTTCCATTTCCAAACAGTTATTAAAGGAGTCCTTCTGACTATTTATTGACTTAAGGACATGTTGTAAAAGTTGCTGTTGTGACTGGTGACTTTGGTAGCTAGCATTTATGTTGTACTTACTACTTTACTAGAGGAGACATTATTCCCACTCTCACTGCATACGTTCAGCCCTCTTCAAGTACTCTACATATGTTAATTAAATTCTGCCAGGGCCAGTGATAGCTCAGTGGCACAGTGCCTGTCTGGCAAGTGCAAGGTCCTGAGTTCAATTCCTGGTACAAAATTTAAAAAAATAAATTCTGCCAATAACTTTGTGAGGTCAGTACTATTACTTTCCTCCTTTTACAAGTGAGGAAACAGAAGCAAAGTTAAGTAACTCAAGCTAATCAGGGACAGGTGTAGGTTTTATATGCACTGGTAGGTCTTGCTCCAGTGCCCCCAATACTCTTAATCATTA